ACGCCTGGTTGTTTATTATTTGTCGGTCAGCCATCTTTTTGCCTTTTTACTCGTTCACTACTATAAAAGGCTGTTTATCGTTACGCGTTGACTCATTTACTGGCGCTTTCTTTAGGGTACACTCCATGAATCAAGCGTTTCTTCGAACTTCAAAGGAGAAGAATTGTGGGTAACGGTATATTTTTTCGACAGGGAGTCATCATCATCATCCTTCGGCCTCGGCCGAGAGTCCTCCAACAACAGACTTCCACACCGCCCTGTCAGCCATTACTGCCCTAAGATCTTGGACACCGATTCCAGTGTCTCTGGCGATGACGTGGGGGAAGGTCACTTTTCTTGATCTGACAGGGCGGTGGTCTGGGCTCCAGAGGAGGAGGCGGGATATGGCCTCTTTATTAGCTCGGGAGCAGTGCCCAGCAAAAGCGACTCTTCTCGCTTTCAATTTCAGTGAGACAGGTGGTAGGTTTCCATAGATTTCCTCTAGGGTGGCATGAGCAGACCAATGGATGTTTTGAACCCGACGTAGGAGGTTTGTATAGGTTCCATCTAATCGCTGTTGTTATTTGAGCGTCAGGGTCCATGTTTCCGCACCGTATAGGAGGATAGGTTCCACGACCGAACTGAAAAGGTTGATCTTCAGGTTTCTGTCCAGGTCAGAGTGCCATATTTTGTCTAGGGTGTTACAGGCTTCCCAGGCTAGTGCCTTGCGAATCTTAAAGTCCTTAAAGGAGTCCATTATAAAAGAGCCCAGGTACTTGAAGTCGTCGACTCGCTCGATGTTCTTCCCGGACAAGGCAGTTAATGATRAGGGATCTGAAGATAATGATATGTATTTCGTCTTCGGTTCGTKACAGTAAAGTCCAACMAGGGARGCTGATTTTTCCAGKATRTGARGAAGGAATTCAGCATTACTGGCCAGTTCCGATACTATTGCTAGATCGTCARCAAAGTCAAGATCTGYGAGAAMTTTTGCAGRATGTCTGCGGCTTCTCCTAGGRTGTAGTTGTAGCCCTTTTTCGTTGTGTTGGTCAAGGGATATCCGYAGAACATAATCCAGGACAATTATAAAWAGGAAAGGAGCTAGCGTATYTCCTTGCAGTACTCCTGCTTCAATATCAAAGAAGTCAGTCTCTCCATCAGGTGTGATGACGGAGGCTTTGGTATTTGTGTATAGCGCTCTTATTGCTTTTATGATATGGTGAGGGATTCCATATAGTGGGAGGATCTCGAAAATGGACTCTCTATTGATTGAATCAAAAGCCTTCTTGAAGTCAACAAAGCAGATTACAACCTCCATGTTATACCTGTTCATTTCTTCGATTATCCTCCTCAGAGATAGTATTTGCGCAATGGCAGATCTTCCTTTACGAAACCCATTCTGGTTCATGCGAAGAATAGGATCTACCGGTGGAATGAGGCGATTGAGGATAAGTTTGTTATACAT